CAAAACCGAACCTTAAGCTTGTCATACCTGATCGTACCATCTGTACGAACTTGCGGTTTCACAATACCATGTTGGGATCTTGTTCTCCGAGTTGGCACATCAGGAGCTGTATGAGGATCCAGCGCAGAGGCTCCGGCAGAAGAAGACACAGCCGCACGAGATCCCACTTCGATCCTGCCGTCAACCGCGCGAGATCCCACATCAATCCCGTGTCAGCAGCAAGGCACCCGCCAGACCCGCCATCCTGCCTCATCGCTTCTGCGCCATCCGCGGCAGCCGATGCTCCCGCGCCAGGTTGGGCCACCTGGATGTCATTGAGAGGCGGCATGCGACGCGAGGAGCCGGTCGGCTGGCCCGCGCACCAGCGGTTGGCCCACCTAGGGAACTGGCGCCCGACGCACCCACGTATCATTCTCTGGGTGGGGTGCGCTGACCCGAGGGAGATTCGCCTGGACTGCCTGCACCCGTGCCACCTACGCCAGAATCAGCCTCGGGATCGGCGCTGGCAGCACCTGAATCTCCTTCATGCTCCGCGCCTCTTTCGTCTTGTTCTGTCTGCATAAAATGATACACAGGAGCTGGATTTTCACCAGGATTAGCAGGAAATTTAGCATGTTGACCAAATACACGTTCACCCCCGTGAGCAATTGGCTCAGAGGGAATAGTTTCAGGAAGCAACAAGACTTCAGAGCAAAGAGGGGTGCCTGCATTTGAATTTAATGCTTTGAACGGAAAAACTGTCACATCAAAAATAACATCAGGGGATATATAAACCCGGCCGGCAGAGACATCAAGACACTTGAAACCTTTGTGAAGGTTACTGTATCCGAGGAAAACACACTGTTTGGATCGGAATTCTAATTTCCTAGAGTTATATGGACGGAGATTGGGCCAACAAGCACATCCAAAACCTCGAAGGGATGATAATTTGGCTGTTCATGAAACAAACGACCCAGGGGAGTTCCAAAGTTGATCACCTTGCTAGGCGTGCGATTTATCAGATATGTGGCAGAAAGAAATGCATCATCCCAGAATTTGAGGGGCATGGAGGCATGAGCCAAGAGGGAAAGTCCCACGTCTACAATGTGGCGATGTTTTCTTTCAGCTGATCCGTTCTGCTGGTGAGCATGTGGATAGGAGACGTGGTGGGTGATTCCTAGTTGGCGAAAAAAGGTATTTAGGCGTTCATATTCGCCTCCCCAGTCTGTTTGCATGGTGATAATTTTTCTATTGAACAATCTTTCAACTAACGCTTGGAATTCATGAAAGATCTTAAAAACTTCAGATTTGTGCTTGAGAAGATAGATCCACGTGAATTTGCTATAATCATCAATAAAGGACACATAATAGTTTTTCCTATTGATAGAATCACGGGCAGGCCCCCATACATCGGAGAAAATTTGCTCTAAAGGAGCTTTAGATACACTGAACGAACTAGGGTAGGGTAGTTGATGACTCTTGCCCAATTGGCAAGCATCACAAACACCCTCTTTATTTAACTCACTACTTGAGAAAGGAATATTGTTGTGGCTAAGGACATGACGAACGATAGTGGATGAAGGATGCCCTAGCCGACTGTGCCACCTGACCGTGGACACTTTATTGACACCAAACACCTGTTTGCTTGAACTCAATGGAACCGATGATAGGGGGTAGAGACCTTGTCTACACCTGCCGTGGAGAAGGATTTTCCTCGTCCCCTGTTCCTTAACGAAAAAGAAACATGGGTGAACTTCAAGAAAAGTATTGTTGTCAGCGGACAAACGATGAGCTGAAATAAGATTTTTGGTGGCATCGGGTACATGCAATATGTTTTTGAGATGAATATCACGAGTAGGGGTTCGAACAGTGGATTGACCAATATGACTAATTTCCATACCTTCTCCGTTTGCGGTGTGGACTTGCTCGTTGCCGTTGTACTTGTTGCGGACGGTCAACTTGTCGAGCTCGCTGGTGATGTGATCTGTGGCCCCCGTGTCGAGGTACCAATTGGTGTCCACTCCATAGGACGAGGTGGTGGCTGATCCTACACTCTTTTCATTCTTGGCGAAGGAGATGTCGAAGCGGCGGTAGCACTCGATGGCGGTGTGGTTTGGCTTCTTGCAGATCTGGCAGACAACCTCAGGGAGATCGTTGCCTCCTCCATTGCTGTTGCCACGGCCTCCTTTGCCGCGGCCACTGCCTCCATTGCCACGACCTCCATTGCCGCGGCCACCGCCTCCGTTGCCACGGCCACCATTGCCACGCCCGCCTCCGCGACGGTAGCCACCATGGCCACGGGACACGACGTTGGCCGAGGACTGAGAGGACTGGTTTCCTCCTTCAAACATGGCAAGACACTTTTCAAAACCGGTCAACTGAGAGTAAAGTTCAGCTACCTTGATGGGCTCGGTTCTTGCAGCGCAGATGGACGAGACGAACGAGATGTAGTCGAAGTCGAGTCCGGCGAGGATGTAGGAGACCATGTCATCATCGTCGAGCGGCTTTCCTGCTGAAGCCATCTCGTCGCCTAGCGCCTTCATGCGCCCGATGTACTCGGCGTTGGTCGCGGTGCCCTTTTTGGTGGTGGAGAGGGCGATCCGCATGTTGACGATGTTGGCCTGCGTTTGGGAGAGGAACATCTCCCTGATCGCGGTCCATGCCGCGGTGGCCTTGGTGCAGTGGGCGACTTGGATCATCACAGGAGCGGAGATTGAATTGAAGATAAAACTTAGCACCTGGGAGTCTTGCGCCAGAGCGATGTGATACGCCGGGTTTGGCACATCGGTGGGCTTGCCGTCCTTGTCGGCAAGGTTGGGCTCCGAAAACGGGTGATCGGGGTTGAGGTGGTCGATCAGTTGGGCTCCGCGGATGGTAGCTAAAGCCTGCGCACGCCACACGAGATAGTTGCCGTGGTGAAGCTTATCAGCGATGGGAATGAGGGCATATGGAGCGGCGGCGGCGGTGCTGGAGCTAGCCATGACTACTAGGTTGGATGCGATAGAGGAACTAGGCTCTGAATACCATGAAAGATTGCGTGGAAGCGTAGGCCTCTGGCAGGGACGTGCTGCATGTTATATAGCCAAGGATAAGTTACAAAGATACGGTAGTTAGGTCGTGGATTAATCCTCAAGAAAGCTATACAAGATATGAGGAGAAACCCTAACAACCTAACTACCAGATTACAACAACACACGCACGCAATCTGGCCCTACCTACGGTGCGTACGGTTTATACAATACCGTATACACATGGTACAATACTTTCTAACAGGTTAAACATCAACGTTGATACAGTGCTAGCACGATTCTCTCTTTATTTCGTGATGAAGTTGTTGGACAACATATCAACTTCGCCAAATGCTCTCCTTATTTCCTACTGCATGTGAATGTGGTGGATTTCCTTTACGGTGGGACAACTTGGATGCCAAGTTGCTGAATTTCCCTGCAAGTATCTTGGTTTTCCCTTCTCAGTTAGGAGACTAACCAGAGCTATTTACCAAGCTTTGTTAGATCTGATGCGGTAGAAGTTAGCTGGCTGCTGGCTAGAAGCAAAATTTTGGCCGACACCCCTCTATATCAGATGATGATCATTGACCAGCCCCTTTGGCTCATTAAGAAGGTGCAAAAGCTAGAGCGCAGCCTCCTTTGGGACGGTTCAGATGTGGTCAGGGGGGTAAGTGTCTGGTGCGATGGAGATCCAAAGAGCTGCGTGGGCTTGCAATCCCTCGCATCAAAGAAGAGATCAACACACTAAAAGCTATGCTTGTGGTGGCCTTGGTGGTGGCCGCACTGGATGGAGGCGGAAAAGCCATGGCACGGCCTTCATCTTCCTGTTGATGGCAAGCTCATTAGGTTCTGGCGTTACAGATGGCTCCTGGCGATGCCTCTTGCTACTGCAGTTCCTAACCTCTTTGGGTGCCGCACCAAGAGAAATACAGTACTTCGATGGCTTGTTCTCTCGCTGGAGATGCCCGGATGAGATTCCTGAAGCTAGCATGACCTCACTCAGTCTGCCCTACAGGAATCACAAATATGTGGCACAAGATTAGTTCTGTGAGACTGCGGCATGGAGGCATGCACGGATACCATAGCGATGAGCAGAGAATGGTCAGTACTCGGCAAAGTCAGATTGCCTTCTCACGGTTGACATTTATATCATAATCTGGTATGCAAGATTTTCGCCTGGACTACTATTCAAGGCTGCTGATAATCTTGAAAAGAGGGGATGGCCTGAAGTGCGGTACTTGTCAGCTTTGTCTTCAACAAAAGTGAAACGTCTTGCAAGCTGCCTCTTCTCAACCGGCATCTGGAAGATGATGCTGCCTTTGGTCTGGTCAGATCACATCATCTTCCATATGCCGGTTGGTTGATGGAATGCTCAAGCCAACTCCTTCACAATTGCTGCTTCCAAAGGATGCAGCCTGCCTCTGGCATACGCCCAGGACAGGCTAGCTTTTCTAAGTTGGCAGCTCTTGCTGTTTGTACTATTGTTTCCTCTCATTTACATCAATGAGTGCAACACGTTTCTACTCCTCTACATCAATGAAATGCAACATGTTTCCTCCCCTTACAACAGATCAAGACAGACAAGGGCGATTGTAAAGCTTTTGATGCACCAATCTACAGTTCTAATATAACCACCAGCAGATCAGCAAAATGGGTGCTGGTTGATACCAGGGAGACGAGCGAACATAAATCATTGGACACCACTATGCTTAGAGCACATGGGCTTATGACATGGTTTGCCCATTTACATATACAGAACACCATGACATCAATTGGTTCCGATGATAACAGAGCTCTAGCAACACAGAGCAAACCGTTCAGAATGGAGAACTGACAGCCAACCATCACAGAAACTATAGATACTACTATTAGTACTAGCACGAGTCTGTCCTGGAGAAAGCAATATTAGTACTACTAGTACTCGAGCAGCTCAGAATGGAGGTCCCAGCACCAACGGACGAGAAAACATCATCAATACTAGCAGCGATCGTCGGCTCTACAACCAAGGTGACCTCACATAGGTAGAGGCTTTCGGCCACGAGGCAGAGGCCATTTGTGACGTGGCAAAGGGTTGGCTCTACGACCAACGTAGCGTGGCGCAGGCAACGGCCATCTGCCATGAGCAAGAAAGTAGAAGTCAATGAAGAGATCTATTCTAAACAATGTCACAGATAGATAGTATTAACATGTGTAAGAAAGAATACTTGTTTCCATCAATCGGTGCAACAGTTTCAGTGTTCCTGTGTGTCCCGCCAGGCAACAACCATCTGTGTGGTTGATCAGCCATATTTCAAAAAGCATAAGAGTTACTGAATAAATTATTTCAAACAATATGTTAAGATACCGTACTTAAGAAAGAAAAATACCTATTTTCAACACCCTCAACAATAGTACCATCTGCACTAGTCCTGCAAGTACACCCAAAATCAATTTTACCACAAGGAAACGAGTTAGTTTAAACCAATGACATACCAGCTTAATGCGTTAAAAAATAGGCAAGGATATAAGAGCACGATGAGAGCGTACGGGTAAGTATGGCATCAAGAGTGATAATGGCAGATAACAACAGAACACGCCAATGAATTAAGTTACCGGTATCATGTACAATTATATCACTACATCAGTGCACAGTATTACACTTTGGGCACACACAAGTTTTCATATCAGCCAAACACAATTGGGCCAAAACTATGTTTAAGTGAAAATGATTAAACGATGTGAAAACTAGAGACGAATATACACAGGACAACTTCCCTAAAACCTACAAGCTTCTTTTATTAAAAAATAAGACATACCGTTTTTTATTTAAGTTCAATAAGAGGCGGTGAATAACGTCCCTCGGCAGGAATGGAGTTTCTTCCTCATCATAAAAGTTCATTCGAACAAAATTCCCATCATTGTCAATAAGAGGCCCCCCAATCCCAGCCTAGCAAAATAAAAGGAACAACATACAAGAGTTACACACAGATACTGTTTGATAGATGTAGTGATAGCTTATGTTAGTATTCCAACGCTAATAACTTTTTGGCATGTTAGAGGTACTGGGGAAGTCCACAAGAAATACCTTGGTGATTTTACAGGTGGAGACACATAGTTCTTTGCAATCAAGTTTGCTTTGTTTGCCAATCAACACCTTCCCCTCAACAGCCATTAGTTTGCGACACGCAAAAAGACTACCCACAGCTATTACGTCCATAGATGAGGTAACTGGATGCCCATGGATTTTTATTATACGAGGACGCCAGAATCCCATGATGTCAACAAGAGCAACATTGTAGTGTAAATTATAACAGCTCAATATCCCTACAACTCGAAATTGGTTTGGAAGGCAAACTTCAATATGCAATGATAACGTTATGTTAACCAGTATCTGAAATGAAAAGAAAAAAATGATAGCAGTTAGCAGTAACAACCCTCAAGTTATCATCGATCCTGTGTGAACTGCCAGGAACTCTGAACAAACTTGCTGAAGTCAGAATTGTTGCAGAGCATGCTTCGCCCTTTATAAATACACCTGAGCAAGAAAACTTTTTTGCAAATCCTACAGAGATAATCATTCAGTTATCAATTAAAACATGGACAAGTACTGTATAACAGAGTCATCACCATTGAATGAAGCAAGTGAGACAACACTTCGATTCATTTTTGAAGCAAGAAGTTTGCTTGATTCTGAAGCAAGTGAGTAGGCACTTTGATCCATTTCTAATCCAAAACCTCCCAATGGTTTCCTCAAGATATCCTTCTTGAAGGTATCATCGAGAAGATGTATGTATTGCCCACCTAGCATGATACACCAGTTAAAAGTGTTTCATAAAGTTTTTAAAGTGTGAGTGTGCAACATAAGGTACTCAGCAAAAATAAGTTAAAATGTATTGGCTGCCAAGGGTTCAACGTAGGCCATTGTAGCTTCAATATGTATTCCAAGAAAAAGCTGTGATGGTGATGTTCCATCTTCCTTCTTCCATCGCACCATTTCCACATCTTGTTTAAGGGTTTGCCAAATACTCCCTCTGTCCCATAATATAAGAGCGTTTTTTAAACTAGTGGTGTCAAAAACGCTCTTGTATTATGGGACGGGGGGAGTATGTCATATGAGTATGCCTCACAGTTTTGATATTTCTATGTTATCTTGTTTTCCTAACTCCAAGTCAGTTTCTGTGCCCATGGATTTGCAGACTGATGTGGCACATGCATGGTTAAATTTATTTTCATGGTTTCCATAGCAACAGGCAGGCATTCACCTAGTTTATCAAATAAATAAAATTGTGAAGACATAATGCTAGTACTAATCAGTCAGTATGTTTTGCTATGTACTAACAGTATATGACCACACACCAAGTGAGTGGATAGGATCCCCATAATCTCCCAGTTAGGTCGTTTGTCACATAAAAATGGAGAAGCTACCATTCAGCTTGACCATGGACCCAGTATGGGGAACACAATATAACTTCCCGTCTCGTCTTCCTCCCTGTGGTTTCAACGGCTGTCAAAGGACAGCCGCGCCTCTTGGGTCCAGGGCTGTCTCATTCTGGCCTAAACAGCCAATATCCTATGAAATAAATTTGCTCACCTCCTGCCCTGAGGAAAGCTGAATCTCCATAACGACTTTTAAATCTTGCACTTGCAGCTTCATCAACCTCTTCCTTAACACTGCAGCACAATGTAGAAAACTCACTGTGATAAATCCACAAAAAGAAGATATCAAGACACAGACCATGCACAAAATGAGAGTATTAAACAAGGGGAATATAGAAAAAGAAGGGAGCGCCAAATAGTTGCATATACTTTACAGCAAATAAATTTAATAAAATCTAAAACAATTTCTCCATGGCTCTGTTTAAATGCAAGTTTAGAGTGTAGCGGAAATATGCATTACCGCCAGATTAATATAACAATCGTAATCTAGTACTCCCTCCGTCCCAAAATAAGTGCCGCAGACTTAGTACAACTTTGTACTAATGTTGCACTACATCAGCGACACTTATGTTGGGACGGAATGCAGCTTGTTGGGTTAAAGGTAGAGATGGTCACAGATGCAGAGCAACAGGAGATGTAAAAAAAGTAAAAAAAAAACACAAGTACAAAATAGCTAATGAGGCAGTTTTGGGGATAAATTTGTAAACCTTGAAGCTGCTCTTACACAAACTCAAATAGAAATAGGGCAGGGAGGTGTAGTGTAGGATGCAGTGAGAGAGAAGTATGGGTAAGCCAAACAGAGTGTTTGTTCATCAATGCTGAAAGTGTGCATACCTGACCATCTCGCAAAACCACATGAATTCACGAATCGAAGGCCTTCGCACGTAGGGGGTCTTTCTTTGTTTGGTACCAGAGCAGTTCATCCCGACAAAGTTGCCATCAAAATCAACAACGGGACCTCCAATCCCCACCTAGCACAAACATGAGGATGAAGTTATGCATTAAAAATGCAATTAATAATTCCTGAAACCAAGGATATGCATCGGCACATACAATGATATAAGCCATTCATACCATCATATAGCAGTTATATGTTTGAACTGTACAGACTAAAGCAGCTAGCTCACCTCATGGATTCGGCATGTGCTTAACATCTCCTCATCTGTAAGAGCGCATACAGAGGCAAGATCTACTCCACTTGTGGTCTTTAATTCTCCTGAATCATAATAGCGCCATACAGCTGCTACCTTCCTAAAAGGCTCAAACTGCGTGGCACGATCAAGACTTAGATGACATAGATGGGGGGGATCAATAACATCGTCGTTCTTGATTTTGACGATAAAAAAATCAACATATATCTCAGGATTCTCTATCCACCCAGTGACAATCTGATCATCGGAAAGGCGTACTTTAATCTGAAATGAGCACAGGGCAATGGCTGTACTGAATTAATCATTACAGGTGCAGCATATATATTAGCATAACTAAAAATCCAGAAAAGGTTACCGTCAAACTTTCAGTGATCTTCCCTAACCGACAAGTATAAGGAATCAAATTTATCGATGTCAGGAAACACGTGGCATCAGGACATGAGCTTTCGATGCATGTGCCCGTGCATTCGTGTAATTGGGTATCACCTGGAGAGGGAGAGAGTCATACGTGCAAACTGAATAGCTGGTCATCAAAAACGATGTAGCATGAGAAATTAAGGACAGTATAATCACCAACCATCGAATGAGGCCAGCGCCACAATACTCATGCTTAATCTGGAAAGTACTTGCTTACTCAAGGCACCTTTTCTGGATTTACTCAATTTCTCTACGGACTTAGCACTCAAACCTAGTTAATTGAAATAAAATCATGTGTGATACAGTTAACAGAACGGTCTACTATGAATAGTCAGGAAAAGGAAGCAGAAATGGGCTCACTTGGCCTAATTGCTTTCATCTCACTGTTCATTCTTGCCCTTGAAACATCATCAAACCCTTCCTTAACTCTAACACTGCTGCATAACGTAGAAAACTCAAAGTGATAAATCCACGAAGGCAATGTATCGCAACCACATAAAAAAAATGAGCTAGTATTAAACAAGGGAAATTTAGAACAGGGAAATTTAAAAATGAGCTAGATTAATGCAAGTTTAGAGTGTAGCAGAAATCTGCATTACCGCCAGATATTTCACAGCAGAGAAATGTAAGAAAATCATAAACAATTTCCCCATGGGTCTTCTTGTTAAATGTAAGTTCAAGTGCAGCAGAAATATGTATTAGCGCCGGCATTGAAATAACAACCTTAATCTAGTGCAGTGCAGATCTAAACAATTAAAGAAAAGAAACACATGAGTAGAAAAAATAGCTAATAGTACAGTTTTTGGGATATAAACTCGTAAACCTTGGAACCTGCTCTTTGGCTTTGAGAATGACACACCTTGCACACAAACTCAAATAAAAATAGAAGGGATACGTAGAATAGGATGCAGTAAGAGAGAAGCATGAGTAAGCCAAAGAGGGAAGGACAGTTCATCAATACTGAAAGTGTACATACCTGACCTTCCCGTGAAGCACCAAGAATCGGAAAATTCCCTCCCTTCGCACGTAAGCAGTCTTCTCCATTTTGGTACGAGAGGAGTTCATCCCGACAAAGTTGCCATCAAAATCAACAAGAGGGCCTCCAATCCCCGCCTAGCACAGAAGTGACAATGAAGTTACACAGAGAAAATGCATGCAATTCATAATGGCTGAAAGCCTGAAACTGTATAAAAGCAGCTCACCTTGTGGATCCGGCACGTGCTTACGATTGTCTCATTGGTTGGAGAGGCGAGATTTAGTCCACTTGTGGCTGTTAAAAATCCTGAACTGAAACAGCGGCGTACAGCTGCTACCTTCGTATGTGGCTCAGACTGCATGTCACAGTCAAGACTTGCGGCATCAATACCAGACACATTCTTGATGTTGACAATGAAAAAATCAACATATATCTTAGGATCCTCTATCCACCCAGTGACAATCCGATCATTCGGAAGGCGTACTTTTATCTGAAATGAGCGCAAGGTGAATTAATGATTACAGGTGCAACATATATACAAGCATAATTAATAACCAAGGAAAAGAGTAGAGAGAAAAATTACATTCAAACTTGCAGCTGGGCGAGTAGGTGGAATCAACCGTCTCGATGTCAGGATTGTAGCTTCAGAATCAGAACATGAGGTTTCAATGCATATGCCTGTGCATTCACGTAACTTGGTATCACCTACGTACGCACAGAGAGAAAGTCAAGCGTGCAGACAAAATAACTGGTCACTAAAAACAGGCAATATGAGAAAGTATTAACAGCAAGTAAAATCACTAACCATCGAACGAAGCAAGCGACACGACACTCCTGCGCAATCTTGAAACTACTTGCTCACTAAGTTCACTCAGGGCGCCTGGACTGGATCCACTCGAGCTGTCCAATCTCGCTGCAAAGGTACCACACAAAGCTAGTTAATTGAAAATAAAATCATGTGTGATACAGTTAATAGAAGAGGATCTCAAAGCAATGTTGGAGGGCTGAAGATAAGAGGTTCCATGTAGCTCGACCTACAGAGAAACTTTACCTTAACAAAAGCGTCAATTTTACTACTACTTATTGTGAATATGTACTTGCAGGAGAAGGGAAACAACATGGACTCACTTAGTCACTTGGCCTAGCTACCCTTTTGTAAGGGCGTTGCTCTTCATCGCCTCTCACCAGCCGGCGCTTGTTTTTCATCATCGATCTTTTCAATCCAGCCTGAACAGCAACGAATGAAATTCAGCTAACACTGATTGATCTGATTACACAACTAGTGGATCGGTATGGTTGCCAGACAAATGGAGGGATTGGGCTATCCGTACACAATAGATCGGAGTTGGAAACTAGGTCATAGAAACTGCGCCAGATTACTGTGGTGGAATCGCTCCAAGAAACTGGGTGGGTTAGTTGAAGTATCCGTATAGTACAACCAAGAAAGAAAGATTTTGAATTAGATCTCGGACAATCCAAGCAACCAAAATTCGACCGGAGGTGGAGAAGGGATACCTTCGAAACAAGCAGATCTCACCGGCCGCCGCTGGATTCGTCGACGGAAGGATCTCTGCTCCAACTTTTGTTTTTTTAGCCGACCTTTTTTTTTTGAGACGACATCTGCTCCAACTTAGTCCAGCCGCGAGAGGGATTGAGCTCGTTTTTTCTGGGCCGGCCCACTAGTGGAAGCTTCCGGTCAGTTTTTTTCCTTTTATTTTTCCTGTTTCCAACTAAAAAATCATATAGGGTTCAACCATATCGTCAAGAACTAGTATAACTACTCAAACAAAGACATGAAAGTTAGGGACAAGTTATAAGCCGGCATCAAGCTAGTGAAGGGAGAAGGCATGGTCGTGGTGCGTGTCTTGTAGTTTATGCCGACCTTCATGCTAGGAAGGAACATGTTTGTGCGGTGGTCGAAGCTATGCCACAGTATGGTGCCGTTTTGACGATCGGACTACGAGATTACTCGTGTTCAGAACCACCGCCGTCAGGGTAGACGACCAGACTAGTGGTCACGTTAGTTGTTGCCCAAATGATGCAGCTCCCGCCACCATCGTCGGAGCGAACCAAATTAGAGTTGTTGGTGAGGGAGAGCTTCGGTGTTGAGGAAGTTGTGTTGGTTCCCGGGGTGTCTCGGTTGGCGACCCACACAACACTGAGCTGAGGAATGTCGTTATACCATATGCCGGAGTGGAGTTGGAGGGATTGAAGAAGCCCAAGATGAATCCACCATCATCGGAGACGATCGTGTTACCAGGGTACAACACATTGCCGGGGACGAGACGGTCTTGGGAAGCGCTCAGTGGCAGGGAGAAGAGGATCATGACCATGGTGTAGCTGGTGAGAGGCGGCCAATCCATGGGTTGACTAAGCTTAGATCCGAGTACTAACTAAGGGTTCAACTAAGGCTGACCATAGTGGTGGTATCTTAGCCGGTATCATGCACTCCAGACGAGCAAACATGCTAGTATCATATACATGATAGTATGATACTAGTATATGATACTTCCCACTATGAGTAGCCTAGTTAGGCTAACTGAGAGTAATAAAGTACTTCCTGCAAAACAAAAAACTAGGAGTAAGTACATAATCATACCAATCCTTGGTCTACAAGCAAGATATACTTAATTTGACTAAAGCATCCAAGAATGTTTGATTGCGGCAGCAGATGATTGAATAATGCAAACATTTTTGGAATTCTAGTAGTTGAGACTTGACATATATATAAGCTGTCCATGCCGGATTGGGATGCCATCATCACTACTTACTGGTCAGATAGTTGTTGTGTATCAACACTTCTGGTCAGACTGAAACATTAAGCTATATAGTGCAGGAGGATGCTGTCATGCCCCGATAATCGAAGTAGAGTTTGGTGGATGAATTGGGATCCTGGAGAATGGGGAATCGATATTGTAGGATCCCAGTATTTTATATACCGTAATCATACTGTAGGGTAAAACAAGAAATATTTTGCGTTTATAATGTACTAACAAACCTATTACACATTTTTATGTAGTGGTTGTAATGGGGCAGTGGATGACAGGCTTCCTGATACACTAAGGAGTGATTGTTCGAGAACTTGTATC